ATATATATATATATATATATATATATATATATATATATATATATATATATATATATATATATATAATAAAAAATATTATAATAACAAATTATTACTATAATATTATTATTATTGCATTGTCATTATATCCCAAATATCACAATTACATTTATTGTTATTTTAAACTTTTATTTTTTTATTAAAGAATCCTGTATCATGATTTCCACAAAAATATATTAGTCAGCACAACTGTTTTCGACATTGCTAATAATAATAAATGTTTCCTGAGCAGCAAATCAGTATATTATAATGATTTCTGAAGGATCATGTGACACTGAAGACTGGAGTAATGATGCTGAAAATACAGCTTTGATCACAGGAATAAATTACAATTTAAAATATATTCAAATAGAAAACAGTCATTATGAACTGGAATAATATTTCATAGTATTTTCACAGTACCTGCTTTCATTATTTAGAAACTGGGTCACTCATGAATGGATTACTTCATAATTGGGGGTCCTTGGCATCACAAAACCCTGCATGAATGAGCCAAGCTTTAAACTTAGAGGTACTGACTTGACATGAAAGTGGCCACTGTTTGCAGGAACCAGCCATTGCCCGATTGCATCAATTTGTCTTTCAGTCCCAACTTTGAAACCGGCCCCCAGTGGAGACCAAACTCGATTAGGTCAACAGGAACCAGTTCACAGAAAGCAAATTGTTGAATGAAAATGTCAGCTGAACTTCCCGTGACCTTAGGCTTTATGTGCTTGTAATACCATCACAGCCTGAGTGGAAACAGCTAATCCACTTTTTTTCCATTTTGTGTGTTTCTCTCCCTCTCTCTGTGCAGCTCCATCCGCAGTGACTGTCATCAGGAAGGACCGAACATCCAGAAACAGCATCTCACTGTCATGGATGGAGCCAGAGAGACCCAATGGAATCATTTTGGACTATGAGGTCAAATACTATGAGAAGGTGGGAGCAGTTTAATTTTGATTCGCTGTGGGCATTCACTGCATTAACATTTTCATTCGAAGTCATCCCTTTGCCCTTATATTTGGCATCATTAGCAATCTTGGTCCAGAGTGCACATTCATATACCTGGGAGCATTTCAAGTCATTAGTTGCTGTGGCTTAATTTGATTGTTCGAGGCGAAATAGAGTCTGTCTGCTCTGCTAAGAGATGTTTGCCTGAAATGAAATTTTTAACCAATGTTACCTTATTTTTTGCTTTCATTGAGCGAAACCTATTTCTTTTGCACAGTCTCTTCTGCTAACTAAACAGAATCACCCCAGTGATTCAAGTGTTTTTTTTTTATATGTTTTTTATATTATATGTATTTTTATTATTTTATTTTATTATTTTATTTTTTGTTTAGTTTTTTTACAAAGAAAACATAATATATTATATAATAATAAAGTTTATTATATATTCGGTATAAACATATCGTATAATTACTTACAAATATATTTTTTTAATTCTCTAAAGAGTAGTTTATTTATTAGACTATGTTGGTAGATGAAATTATATAATGCATTATATAGTAATAATAACAGCAACAACAACAGCATAATTATGATATTTTTTTAATTGTCAGTCATTGTGGCCTAGTAAAATTAAATTAAATTAAATTAAATTAAATTAAATTAAATTAAATTAAAAAAAATAATAAAATAAAATAAAATAAAATAAAATAAAATAAAATAAAATAAAATAAAATAAAAGATCATTCTACAAATCTGAGAAAAAAAAATGGTGCAGAAACAATTTCCCTCTGAATTTGGTAACAAATTTCACAATTACAAAGAAACAGCAAGTGGCACATTAAATTAAACATGAGATTTTGAAGTAGAAAAGCTGAAACAGTTTTTTCTTGTAAAACATACTCCAATAATCTTTGCTTTATTCGCTCCTTCGAAAAATTTTAGTTTAGACAGCAGACAAATTGAACTACATTAATATGCATGTGTATTTTTTTTAGCGAGATCAAGGAAAACAAGAAACAAACAGAAAGCAAGATAAATAATGAAAAAAGATAATGCACTTCCAATTAATCAGGGCTGCGTATTTACACACATGATTTCCCAACGCTACAGTTCCATATTTAAAATCAATGGACAAGCAGATGGACTTCAGTTTCAATTGTGTCTATTCATTTAGTTTTGTTTGGAGAGCTCTCTATCATTTCAGAGTCTGCCTTCTGCACATATTTCTGTCTGTCTGTGCAGGAAGTGCACAGGCAGTTTAGAGGAAACATTGCTTAGCACTCACTGACCAGGTCAGTTCATTTTAAGCCTTCTTAACAATCTGTGAATGTGCCAGATGATCTCGGCTTTGGTCTTGTAACACTGGAGGCACTGATCTAAACACCACCTGCCCATTATAGCCCTTGTGGGCTTTAAAAAAAAAAAAAAACCTTAACACAATCTCTCCTCTCCAGTCACGACCCAGTCCGGTCGGCCCCTCGGCTGCTTTCCTACAGATGCAGTATCATTAATGAGTCGTATAGGGATTGGGTCTTGATTGAGGGTCAGTATTGTTGTGCCACATCAGCGCTGCTCTTTTAGGGTCAGTTTTCAGGGGGCTCTTTCATACTGTCAGATCCTGTGATGTCTTCTGCTCTAGGTGAAGTGGGTAACGTCTCCCTCGCTCTGAAAAAAGTGTGACTCTGGGTTTGGAATTTAACTGGGCCCTGACATTGTGGGAGTGTCCTATCCTGAACTGGCAGGGGATCCGAGGGTGTGAAAGAAAGCCCTAGAACAGTCTCCAGTGGCAACCGTCCAGAATCCTTCACGCAGCAAAAAACATTCCGTAGCTTTAGTGGGTATATGGTTTGACTGTATGACCACACAGAGATGCACATATTGAAACTATAGACAGGATAGGATTCGGTTGTCTCCAAGACATGGTTCATCTTCATCATGACAAAGAGGTCTTAAGCTCAAAATTGAGAGCTCATGCAAGTGTTTTAGACCAGTAGCTCATTTGATCCTGTACTTTTTACTCTCCGAATACTAGGGCTGAGTGACACAGCAAAAAAAGATAAAGATAGATAGATAGATAGATAGATAGATAGATAGATAGATAGATAGATAGATAGATAGATAGATAGATCAAGAGCAGTGAGTGATTTCCTTGTCTTTTGTTGTTTGATTAACATTAAAAACACAGACAGCAGGTAAAAAGCACACGGCACTTGCTTTGTTTACAAAGAGTTTATAAAGAGTGACTGGTTTGTCCACGTTTTTTTTTTTTTATGTATTAGGAAGCCAGAATGCACGCGCATTGCCAATCGACAGAAAAATATATTAGCTGAACTCTGTCTGTTGTTATTTTTAACAAACCATATTACAGATGCGTTGTCAGATTTAAGTTGAACCGCGGTGCAAGTGCGTGCCGAACCGTGGGTGGAGAACGGTACGGTTCGATTTTTTTACCGAGAACCATTACACCCCTAATATATATATATATTGTGTGTGTGTGTGTGTGTGTGTGTGTGTGTGTTCTGTTCTGTTGTTGTAGAAACTATGATTATTTTTTCAGGTTTATTTGATGAATAGAAAGTTCAAAATAAATACTTTTTTATAACAATGTAAAAGTCTTTACTGTCACTTTTTATAATCAATTTAAAGCGTCCTTACTGAATAAAAGCATTTAAAAATCTGCAATTAGTAACCTTAAAATAAGCATTATTGGTTAAATAACTTTGACAGGGCTCTTGAAGTTATCTGGGGATTTATTTCCAAACAGGGTTTAATACCGCCACTGATTGTGCCTCATATTTAATGTATATGAAGATTAGCGCTGAACAACAAACAGCCATTATATAACCTAAGCTTCTGCAGAATGAGCTAATAAGTTATCCATAGAATCACAGTAAAAAGTTAAGCCTACATGTTTCATCTGAATTGTTCTTGAACGGGCAAACTTTATGAGTTGACCTTTTGAGGATAGCGGCTCATGAGTTACACGCAGAATGTGTTCAACATTTACATTCAGTCCAAATATGCTGATAGCACTTTTCCAACTGCTGGCAAAGATAGAGTGTTAGTTAGATTCATTGGATCCTGTGCTTCCTGCAGAGGACCTTTGTGATGCGTCTTTCTGTGAGATCAGTGAGGCCCAAATCTCCGCCAGTAGAAATGCTTTCGCTTGGCCGTAATCCCCTCATTTGCAAGCAAAAGGCAGCTCGTCGCGAGCTATTTTCACCGTCTGGCACAGGTACACTCGGGGGCTGCTGAAATCCTCCATGTCTCATTTGACCCTGGGTGGCACAGTGTTCCCTGTTCACAATGAAATCTAGTCCGTCTCTCCATTGATTCCTGTTAATTACACAACCTTGTGAGGCACTGCTTCATCAGGCATAGCTGGAGTTGCCCAAATCCTACACAAGCGGTGCTGCCATGTGGAAAAGCCAGGGACACCCTCGGTAAGACCCTCGGTGCCCCTTGATCTAGGTTGGCAGAGGATAACAAGCCACCTTCACCCTCACAAAACACACACAGAGAAGCAAAGAGGGCCCAAAATCTTCTTACGGTATTCACTGACACACTGGCCGCAGACTTGAATATATAAACCTCATAAAAGAGAGCCAGATCTGCTAAGTGACTTTTCAAAGAAAATGTGGCATCAACAGGCCAAGTTCAAAAACTCCATGATGTTTACACTGCATAATGTTGTATAGCGCACAATCAAACAAACTGCGTTTAATGGATTCCCAAAAAGGCATCGAGATGCTCGGTAACCCGAGTGAGGCAGCTCCTGTGAGAAAGCGTCATCCAATCCGGAGGTCCAAGAGGTCCATGTTGCTTCACTTAAAGTAAATCTCTTTTTGATTATACGCCAGGGGGGAATACTCTCCTCTTTGTGTATATATATCAAATTAACAATTCTATGAGAGAGGAAAGAGCCTTACAATTCAAGCGTCTCTAAATACTTGAGTACTCTGGTTCACGTTTCCCTGACGTTACAGCATTCCCAATCGCTCTCATCTTTTTGCCAACACTCTAAAATTGGCGTTATTGATGGGTAGAGCTTTTTAATGTTCTTCATACAAGTGGAAATGGTGCACATTTGTGATTATTTCGTCCGTTTATCGTATTGATCTCTGAGCGTATTTGAGAATGTTTATTTCTCCTCCAGCTTGGATGGAAGGAATGCTTGGGGAAAACCATTTCATATTTACAGAATTTCTTCTTTAGCGCAGAGAGGCTGTAAGCCCAGATTGCAATATTTAGACTGTCAAAGTAGAACATGACAAGCATATTAAATTCCACCAATAGCGCACTTATCGAAAAGTAACAATTGCACGCCTTGTCAAACCCCAGAGCTGGGAGGTGGCTGATGCGGACCTAGGACATATGGTAAGAATATATTTTTTTGCAGCAAAAATTTCGACACACCTGTATATGATTTCCAGCTGATCATGATGTCGTGAGTAGTGAACGGTGACAACCTGTGAAAAGATTTATGACTCAAACAGAGACGCATACAATACGAGGCGAGGTATTGGTTTCGTCTTCCGTGGCAGAGCGAATTTATAATCGAGGCCTCCTCAAACCATAAAACCTGATGCGCTCCATTTGTGGTTTTGCATTCAAAGTCTAGAGGTTTGAAATGGTTTCTGTGCTGTGTTCGGGAAAGGAGTAGAAATGATTGTCGGCGGATCCAGATCAAATGTGATGTTTGCATTAGTCACTGGCTTTCCACTGGAGTCATATGTACGTTTCTTTCCATGATGGGTTTTGTCAGTCTGCTAGATATATAGATCTACTGATGAAATCACTTTTTACAAACAAATGCTCGCTGGTGACATTTACGGGCTCTTTGGGCACCCCGGAAAAAGCTGTTTTGGATTAGTTTTTCATTCGAAAAGTGCTGTGAGAGGAGCCGAAACACCCCATTTCCAAATTGCAGAAATTTCTATCTTAATTCTTGACTCCAGATTTTAAAAAGTTCTATTTACTCAATGGAATGACCTTGGTTACTATACAGAGTTAGGATGTTTCTGCAATACAGCTTGAACATTATCACAAAACTTCCAAAGCTCAGCCGCATTAACAGACATAAGGCCAACAAGACCATCTATGATCTAACAGGAACCCATGTTTTGCCATCATCACAGCACGTACTGGCTCTTTTTTAAAAGAAATGTGAAAAAAAAACATGCAATGCTGATAAAATATGGCTTTTCATTTATTTTAAATGCTGTAAGTAACATGTTCAGTCTAAACCAGCGGTCTGGTTTTGATTGTATAAGTCTGGTCAAATATTATTACTTATGTGGTGAAATGTGTATTTAAGCCGTAAAGACGCATATTGCCTGTGCATGTTTGTTGCTTTTATTTTTTGCTTGTATATTCCATATTTCTTTGGCTTTAGAAATCTCATATACATGTGAAGTCATATACTCAACATTTGGGTACACTTCGGAGAGAAAAAAAAAACTTTAAAAACCTTATAATTCTTTATAATTATAATTCTGTGCTGTATTTTTATTATATTTTTTCTATATTATGTATTATGTGTCTTCTGTAATTGGGATCGGTAAGATATAACACACACACACACACACACACACACACATATATATATATATATATATATTTCTGTCAATATGGGGTGCTGTGTGTACATTAATGAGGAAAAAAAATGAACTTAAATGATTTTAGCAAATGGCTGCAATATAACAAAGAGTGAAAAATTTAAGGGGGTCTGAATACTTTCCGTACCCACTGTATATATAACATTATTTTTTATATTTTAAATATATTTGATCAAAAACATAGTAAAAACTGTTGTGAAATATTATGACAATTTAAAATAGCTAGGTATTATTAGAAGGTATTACTGTTTATATGCTGGTATTGTGATCAAAATGTCTTATAATTATCATAGTTGAAAACATTTGTGCTGCTTAATCATTTTGTGAAAAATGGAATACATTATTTAATAAATTGGAAGTTCAAAAGAACAGCATTTATTTAAAATTTAAATCTTTTATAACAATGTAAAAGTCTTGACTGTCTTTTTTTTATTATTAATTGAATGTGTGCTTGCTGAAAAAAGTATTATTATTACTTTTTTCCAATAAATAAATAAACACACAAAAAAACAACAAAATTTAATCTGCTTTACAGAATTTAATATGCTTTTTCAAAAAAAAATAAAAAATCTGAAAAACAAAATCAGGTTTTCGCATTTTGAAAGCCATGTTGCTTGTTTACTTGCCGTTATATCAGTGCAGCATTGTTCTAAATGTGGCTGTGCTATCATTGCTGTTTTATTTGTTTCTGATTAGTGGATAAGCAAAGGATATTCAAAGAAATCCAGCGTATGTAACTGTACACTGCATCTCCCATCTAGTGGCGTCTGACAATTATGGTCCATACCAGCGTGCATCAAAAATCTTATTAACATGTGTAGTCTAGAGATGAAACCCAATCGAGCTTTAATCTGTTACGTGTTTGCCAATACTCGAAAAGATGCTCTCAAATCTCATTTGCCATTAATTACTTCAGCGTGGGGAAATTCAATATCTACAGCATGGACAAGTGAGCTAATCTTAGAGGTCAACGATGGAGCAAAATGCAAATCAACTTTTGAAGGTTTGCCATAACACCTAGCCATGGCTGAAGACTGATAAGTTACATGAATGAATGTGCTGGATAATGCCGGCAAATGAGTGATCTCTCTGTTTGTGGGATGTTTTTCCCCCTTTTCAGGACTCCTACAGTAAACAACAGAAACCGCCGCTCTTTCTCATTTCACTCCTGCCTCTTTTTCCAGAGAAACATCTGGAAACAATGGTTTGAAAGCAAAGACGCCCCATAAATCAGCTAAGCTTTTTTTGCTTGTAGAGAGGATCAGCGTACCACAGAATTTTTTAGGAAAGCCATAAAAATGTGAAAAGAAGGTGGCAGTATATTAAGATGAGCTGGCACTGTCCCAAGCAGCCTTAGATGCTTCTGATGAGCATGCATTTTCCCTCTCCTGTACGCTCGAAAGGTCACATGTCAGACAGACAGATGTCTCTGTATGTCTCTAATGAGATATGATTTACTTCAAATGCTCACTATTCCTGTTTAAGACAAGGCTTTGCATAAGTGGCGTTAGGTCCCTTTAAGGCAACTCAGTCCATATTAGTAACAGTCCCGGGAAGATATTTTATGTAGGTGGTAATAATGCATCTCACTTTTCATAAACTATTCAAATCCTTTTGGATATAATCAAGTCCGACTTATATTTTCTTATTGAATATTCTGTTCTACTCAGAAATGTACAACAGTTGAAAAGAAATTCATACTTTTAATTCAGAAAGAATTAACTAAATTGATCAAAAGTGATAGTAAATACAAAATATTTCAAATTTTCTCTTCCTATTCACAAAAGAATCCTGGGGGGAAAAAATGTATCACTCTTTCCACAAAAAATATTAAGTCGCACAATTGTTTTCAACATTGATAAATAATAATAATAATAATAATAATAATAATAATGCATGTTGAATAAATATTAATTTCTGAAGGATCATGTGACATTGAAGACTGGAGTAATGATGCTAAAAATTCAGCTTTGATCACAGGAATAAATTACATTTTAAAATATATTCAAATAGAAATAAAAGAAATTAAAATAATAAAATATGAAAAATTGTTATAAATTGTTAAATATTTTACATTTTCATAATATTACTATTTTTACAATATTTTAAACAAATAAAAACAGTCTCTGAGATTTATTTTAAAAACATTAAAACATCTTACCGACCCCAAACATTTGAGCAGTAGTGTACTTGAGATTATGAATTAAAATATGTTGTGAAAAGCTCTTCATGTTGACTTGTTATATCCTTGTTCTTCCATATTTCTATGAAATATTGCATTATAATAACCAAAACAAATCATAAAAGGTGCATTTGAGTCACCATTAATCTGATTCATTTATCTGCCGTTTATTTTGGAGGCCAAAGATGCTCGCATGTTTATGTTAAGCTAAAACCAACATATCTCTGTTTTCCTCTTGCTTTCTTTCCTACAGCAGGAACAAGAGACCAGCTACACCATCCTGAGGTCAAAGGCCACAAACGTTACTCTGAACGGGCTAAAACCCGACACCACCTACCTGCTGCAGATCAGAGCGCGAACCGCGGCCGGATACGGCGGTAGCAGTCGCAAGTTTGAGTTTGAGACCAGTCCAGACTGTAAGCATTTACATACTTCCTGTCATTCTGTTCTCTATTTACAGTCACATTCCCTTGCTGTCACAACGCCGGATTCAATCTATTCACAGCTGTGCAGCACAATGAACAATACAGACAAAGGCTTGCCATTCCCTTGGTTTCTGATCCAATACACTGTCATACAAGTCATTTACATAGTATAAACCACTTGGCTAAAACGATACATGTTGCATCTTTTGTCCCATGATGGCAGCTGTTGTCTGCAGCACTATTAAGCATTTAGACTGAGCATTTTGTAAACCTCTATATTGTGGTGCAGCATTGCTGAAGGCCTTTTTATCTAATGAAACATTTATAGGAAATCAATGCACACTCATGTAATGAAATGATACTGTGAGTGGCTCTCCACAGGTTTCTGAGCACGATCAGCCATCTATAGGTGCCTCTGTATGTATAGCTGGTGTGAAATGTACACCGAGGTGCTACTGAGATCATCATTTATGCAGAAAAGGTCTGAATATGGACTTATGCTTCTCAGTCACCAGATATTCCATAATGAAAGAAAATGTTTTATGAATAGAGATAGATATGTAGGATAGTGTATAAATTGTGTAAAATAATCTGATGACTTGATTATTGAGTACTGGGATGCAAAGCTACAGATCTACAAATATACATATTTCCTAGGAATTATTTTGGATTAATCTTTTCAGCATCGGAGCTAATCATTTACATTGGCGTGCAACCTCCTGCTGCTTCGTTTTTTCTCACAAAATGTGTTTTTCTTTGCCATCACTCAATATGTGTCAACACCATCTGATAAAAAAAAACCTGTGCTGTCATGTCACATATTTATGATAAATATTTAAAAGCTAGCATTCAGATTTGATTAAGAATGGATTGAGGATACAAGATTGTTTCAAACTTACTGTCAGCTCCATCTACTGAAGAAAAACAGACCGTGTTGACGGATTAAAAAAAGCATTTTTCATATCACGAATGTTTTAGCTACAAATGGGAAATACTTATAATGTGGGAAATTATCTAAAAATTACAAACACTTTACTGTTTATGAGTTGACATATCATCGTTGTGACAGAAATTGTGCGCACAATTACTTGAAATTTAAATTCACTGTAAAAAAAAAAGTCTGTGTCTGTGTGACCCTGTTAAACTCTTGGCAGGTGAAATATAAAATACTAAACGGACCTTCATACACTTTAGCATATAAAAAAAACCTTATTACAGAAATGTTGTACTTCAAAGGAATATATAAATACAATCTGAATGTAATGTTTTTGAACACTTAATTGCATGATTGGAAAAGTATAATACTTTAAATTAGGTGAACTTTAGAGTGCTTTTTTATACATCTTTATTTCATAATTACTTTGTCTTAAATATGGTTAAAGTACTGACAAGCATTCATGGTAAACTAAAATATACTTTTATTTCCGTTGAAACTCGCATGTCATGGATTCAAATATATTGGTAATTACACATTTAATGATGAAGTTGCAATTTAGTACATGTAAAATATATTAACTTTAACTGTAATATCAAACAACACACTACAGTTGAAATTGCATGTGTTAGTCAACACATCACAATAATTGTACTTTAAAGCATGACAAAAAAAGTTAAATTTAAAATAAAATGTTTACATTTACGTTTACAGAGTGCACTTTTTAAAACTGTACTTAAGTGTGTTATAAACATTTATGAAGGTGTACTCTCTTTAAGTAAACTTAGGTAGACTTTTATTTCATTAATATTATATTATCTGATTTTATTTTAAATATACTTTTAGAATTTGAAGCAAACTACAAATGCACACTCAATACAATTAAGCACACTTCTTTTTCACAAGGGGATATAGAGTGTCTTACTGTTTGAATCTGTATGAAGTATTGAGTTATGAACTAAGAATGGAGGGATGTACTGTAGGTTTAGTGACAGATAATGTCATTATTTTGATAATAAAAAAAGAAATGTTACATGCTTGAACAGCATGGAAAGCCCTTGAAAAGCTGCATACTCTGTCCAATGTGAATTTAAAATGTCTCCTTCTCTCTCTGTGTGTCTTTTCCCACAGCCTTTTCCATCTCCAGTGAGAACAGTCAGGTAGTGCTGATCGCTGTCTCCTCCGCCGTGGCTATCATCCTCCTCGCTGTAGTGATCTACATTGTGATTAGCAGGTCTGTCTGTCAGTCAAAGCGCAGTCACGCAGGGCTTTAAGTGTGCCCATCTTGAAGCTGTCACTTTGCTCTCTCAAGTCTCTCCCCAGAACCCTTGATCTCCCACCCTTCAGATATGAAGTATGAAAATGTGTGCCCCTCCATGTCTGCTGCCTATATATAGTCGTAGACGATTCACTTGGCACAAGCCGTGTTATTTTTCCTGCCGAATGTAACGGGCACCGTGAGAGTCGAGTGTCATGTCATGCAGAGGGGCTGATTTTGGCAAACGGCACCATTGAAAGAGTTCATGAATCTATGGCTTATTATAAGACCCCAGAATACTGTCATGCCTCATAGCAAAGCAAAACAGTCAAGTTGTTCCTGGCTCTGACTTTTGTCTGTTCAGGTTTTAGTCACTTTGTACATCGTTTAGAGAAGCAAAATGTTCCAGTTAAAGCCATTAAGAATAATTAACGCTTTTCATCACTTTAATTGACAGGTTTTGTAGGTATAGCAAGTCCAAACATCCAGATGAGAAGAGGCTGCCCTTTGGCAACGGCCACTGTGAGTATATGTATACCTCAATAATTCTTCAGTCTTGCAAGTATTCAGGTTCTTTCCAAGTGTTTAATATTCATTCCTTACAAATAGTTCAAATCAAAACAGAGTTTTGCTCTAGTATTTATTTTTAAATGTCAGACAGCCCACAAGAACCCAGTAATGGTGGAGGTTTTTATAATATCCCTTTGCTCCCGAGTTACAGCAAGCCAATTGTCCATATGCTACCATTTTTCACACTGGCAGAGGTATCAGGAAGGAAATTTAATGGAGGCCCATACAATTTCTCTTAGATTAACCTGCATGAGTTGCCCTGTAGGACTATAGCTTAGCTAACTGATTAGGTCATCCATAATATACCTATCCATCTTCAAACCCAGCAAATTGCATTTCTTGACAACCATACCTTCCTATCGTTAAGATTCAAATCAACAACCTCTGCGACGAAATATGGTACCTCCCAAGCACAGCAAATGCTGCTCATAAGCATCAGTATTTTTACAGTACAAGACACTTTTTGCAAGACAGCACTGTATTAAAGGGGTCATATGATGCGATTTTAATTTTTCCTTTCTCTTTGGAGTGTAACAAGCTCTTGGTGCATAAAGAAGATCTGTAAAATTGCAAAGACTAAAGTCTCAAATCCAAAGAGATATTCTTTATAAAAGTCAAGAGTCAACCACGCCTACCTAAAACGGCTCGTTCTAACATGCCCCCACATGTCTACCTCACTATGTGGGAAGATTTGCTTAACGCCGCCCAAATGTTCACGCAAAGAAAGAAGGCGTAACTTTTATTCTCCCTGTAGTATTGTTGCTGCCGCCGCCATGTTGTGAAGACGCTGTGTGTTTCGTTGTGAAAGCGAAACTACTTTGTTTGGCCTTCCAAAAGAGGACGATATCGCTTTGTCATGCCTGGAGCTGATCCATGCTGGTCGCTGAGGGAATACTTCAACTTTGCGCTGTGGATCGCCGGATCAGCTTTCACCGTGGACGAAGCGGAGTCCAGCCCAGGGTCGTCACATGTGGTTGCTGCAAGTCCGCCAGACGCTCCTTCGTCGAATCCGCCGGCCACGACATTCTCAAGACCGCCGTGTGTTTCGTTGTGACAGCGAAACTACTTTGTTTGGCCTGACAAAAGAAGACACGACTAGAAATCAGTGGTTAAGTTATATTTACAACACTGTTCCAGAACAGTTCAACCCAAATATTCAGATGTGTGCAGTGCATTTTATGGAGGACTATTTCCTGATCCTGGTAGAGTAGACAACAATGCCGGCTGTTCTGACTCACAGACTGTAAGTACGTTTTTTATACTAAAGAATTTGCCACTGATGTTTTGAGGAGTGTAGAGTAGCGCTTGTTGTCTGTCATTTCTCCGATCACAAATGCAGACATGGTTTTATGTTTACGTGGTGCGATGCAACGCAGCGCATAAAAACACAGTATAAGTCATTATAATCCGTAATTATGTCCCCACTGGATGCAACAAATGCCTCGTTTATAATGGGTTTTAATGTTTTTGTCTCGTTGCTCCGACCGGACAGGCCATCACAATATGGTAAGGGGGGTAACATTTCCATCACACGCTTGAGGTATTCGGCCAATCACAATGCACACCTTGCTTTTCAGACCGATGAGCTTTTTAAAAATTGGCGCGTTTCAGAAAGGCGGGGCATAGAGAAGAAACAATAATGTACAGTATGTGGAAAATAATGTTTTTTTTTACCTTAAACTGCATAAACACATTTTATTACACCAAATAATGTTATTTTTAGCAACATCATATGATCCCTTTATTCCTCACACATTCTAATTAGAGTTTTTTTCTAACTTGCCAACCCAAAATGTTATACTTCTGCAATTAAATCAATAAACATACAAACACATTTGAAGTTTTGTAAATAATTTCAGGCTTAAAGTCACCATAAATTCAGAATTGACATTTATTCTTTTTCATTGTGGTGTTTATTATAAATGTTGTAATAAATATGTAAATAAATGTTTTGAATGTTTTAAAATTCATGTCACAGACTTTAAAGAAAAATTTACTCATTCAAGCAGTTATACCAAAATATGTCACAATATTTATGTCACTATTTCACGTTGATTTTAAGGTGTGCTCACATTTTAGTGTTGTTCTGTAAAATTTAACAAGCCAAATCCAGTAATTTCACTGGGAATTGGCACGAATTGTGCCTGAGTGACATCCAGTGGCAACGAAATTTCCTTATGCACATTTCTCATTGGGTTCAAGTTTTGTGAACTCTGACTCAAATTTGCAGCTGTGTAGGCGGAGGTTCATAACTTAGCAACCAAGCACAACTTAAGATCCAAAATGGATGAGGCACTAATGCCAGTTTTCTACACACTATAGTTTAATATTGAAAAATGGCACGTAAAAATGTTATTCAGGGTTGGATTGGCGAACATTTTTTATTATTTTTTTATTTTTCTGACCTTTATACGTTTAAGGATATGTAATAAAATGTTTGAAAATCTCGTGTTACATTGACAGAATGTTCACCATTTAGAACAATGAATTCTGATTGGTCTTCTTTTCTAAATCTATTTGCATGCCAAACTGTGATTGGTCTTTTCTTTCTTGCACCTATTCAACCATATAAACAGTGAAACCATATAAAGAGTGAAACAGTCGGGTTCCAGAAATAAAAATGCCTTTCATATTCTCAACTTAATTTTTAACGATAACCTTAATTTTTAACAATAACCTAATGATAAACCTTTAAAGACAGATCTACTGTGAGCACAGAGGTTGTTAGTCGATTGTATACGCTTTTATTGAAGCAATCAATTCACATTATAGCAACTGTAGTTTTTCACCAGGGATGCTGCTGTAAAACACATTACATTTAATGCTATTAAAAAAAATCCACCAATCAGAGTCACAGTGAGCAGATCGCACCAAATGAGCTCTGAGCTCTGAGCTCCACCCACTCCCATGAAGCACCACAGATGACGTAATCGAGTCGGTTTCCCCATACTCTCAAAACACTTAAATATTTGAGTATATATACAATATATATGCATATTTTCTAATAAACCCACAAAAAAGCATTGGTATTTCATTCAATCGTGTTTATTTTGTTTGATTTTCAGTGAGACTGCCTGGCATCAAGACTTACGTGGACCCACACACTTACGAAGACCCGAGTCAAGCCGTGCACGAATTCGCCAAGGAACTGGAAGCGTCCTGTATTGCCATCGACAAAGTGGTTGGGGCAGGTATGCGGCGTCATCCCTCACTCTTTGGTGCAATGAAAGAAAGTTACCTGTCCGGGACCAAAATACACTTGTAACAAACATGGCAGGTGGTGTAAATGATAATCATTTAGCACTGCAGCTGGAGGTGTGTGGCTTTGAGATGGGGAAAGGGTCCCTCCCAGTGCTCATCCTCACTGCCTCAATGTCTTTAATAGAGTGCCTGCTGCCGGAGCAGAGGAGCATGGGTAAGCAGAGCACGCCTCCGGCTGGGATATTATATTTCACCCCCCACAGCTCTCTCTCTCTCCGCATCCCTGATGTCTTAAACAGCCAAACACATATCAAGATAATGCCTTGTGATTCATGGCTCTGTAGACAATGCAGCAGTGCCCAGCAAATAAAGAACCCGCTCACTTTTGATGTACCACCGTAAAGTCGGCATACAAACATCAGGGCTCACGCACTACAAATAAGCACATTCCCTGCTTCAGATGTCACTTCTATTGTAAATCTGCATTTTATGGCTTTCGTACACCTTGGCAAGCGATGCAAAAGTGCAGAAAGGGGTTGGCTTTTTTTTATATAGCTTGGAAAATGATCTATTAGCGTGGATTCGGTAGACCTTCATTTGTCTGCATAGCTTATCAGAGTGATCACTGCTGAGGATTAAGCCAGGTTGATATTTAAGATGGTCAACATCATCTGAACGCTGGCCGAGTCCAGCATGGCGGCTGTTTAGACAGCTTGCAATTATTCCGGCTAACTTTTTCCAGACATCAAGCCTGGATTTCACCCATCTCTCTAAACTTGCATGGGAAATAAAGTAATTGCGTGTCGAATTACGCAAATAGGACACGGCCCTGGCTTGGATGTCAAGGTGGTGACATCATCTTTACCCAAATGTCCATCCAAATCTCTGTCAGCATCATCCATAGTGGAGATCTGATCTCCAGCTTACACCTGTATACGCGCCCTAGAAATCAATTTAAGTGGGATCTATTCATGCGATTGCGATTCTATGCGATTGGCCTTTATTATAACTTAAAATAACTGTTAATAATAAATGTAATTTATGTCATTCATAATAAATGTTATATATTCCTCTGACACAAAGCATCATTACTCCAGTCTTCAAAAAATATCAATGCAATGTCACATTTCAAACCACATAAAGAATTATATCTAATACATTTTGCTAATTTACAAGCACATTTTATCAAAAATGTTCTGGGAAATCTCTAGTTCATTCCTATTGGATGTTTTGTCCCATCTTCCCACAGATAACTATGTCTTGTTTCTTAGACAGACAAAGCTTAGATGTAATTCTTAAATCTGACAACTCCAGTGAGGAGAGGTAATTAACATGGGATGCAGTTTAATTAGAACAGAAATCAGTGCTTCTCATGTTAGCCTTCATTTTCTCTAAAACAACCGTCTCTCACCAGGGGAGTTTGGAGAGGTGTGCAGCGGCCGACTGAAGCTGCCGTCTAAGAAGGAGATCTGTGTGGCCATCAAGACGCTCAAAGCCGGATACACCGAGAAGCAAAGGCGGGACTTCCTCAGTGAAGCGAGCATCATGGGACAGTTCGACCACCCCAACATCATCAGGTTGGAGGGTGTGGTCACACGCAGTAAGTTACACTCCACACCTGTTTAAAATGTATTTATGCTACCATTTTTATTATCCCACGTTAAAAGGAGAAAGATGAGTGATTTAGTTGTTTTTTGCTGCATGTGTATGAAAAGCATATGATAATTCTCATGTGCTCTATGGTGAGTTGAATCTGATTAATTTATCATGTTTAGATTTGTTAGTTCAATGCTCGTCCTTTTGGGAGTATCTCATATAAAACATTAGCTGTTTCCAGTTATGGAATATTAGTGGATGTCATGAAGTTGGCAAATCCTCTGCACAGAAAGCCAGTGTTTTATTGACCTCTTTCTTGTAACATTGGGCCAGTGTCCAGCATGAGAGACAATTCACGGAGGGCTGTAAATCACGTATGCTTGTAAATCTCCCTAGATCAGTCTCTATTATGTAGCCTGATCAAAGCGAAATTCTCTAATCCATTCCGCAGTCCTCCTCAAGGGCTCCGTAGGGCTGTTTTTCCTAATGATATAGGCGAAAATAGAAAAAAAAATGTTCACACTTTACCTTATCTGACTTCAAACAGACTGCTAGTATTAAGGCTGGGGTATATTTCATTTGCACGTTTTGCTCCGTCTCGCGCACAGCCTTCAAATTTAGTACACTCCATTGATAGCGAGCACAGATGGATGTGTATGGCGAATGCGCATTACCAAGTGAACCCAATGTATTTGATATTTAAATGTTCAATCACTTGCACGTACGCACAAAAATCAGGCTTTTCAGGATTTTTGTTTGCATGTTCAAGTAATTAAATGGCTAAATATAAATTGTGGGCAAATGCACTTTGCAATACATATAGTATCGGTCAACGGTTTGGAATAATTATGATCTTTTTAAAGGTTTTTAAAATATGTTTTTGAATTTGTTTTGATCAAAATAAACAAACAAAACAAAATAAATGTATTAAAATTGAAATAGCATTACAATTTTAAAGGACTGCTTTCATTTTAAAATGTCATTTATTACTGTGATGCACTCCAGTCATCTGTCGTGAATATTCAGAAATCATTCTAATATGCTGAATACTGATCAAATAAATGCAGCCTTGGTGAGCATAAGACACTTAATGTTTCAAAAACATTTTAAAATCTTAATTATTCCAAACTTTTGACCGGTAGTGTATTGTTCAAAAGCAAATGTTGAGGAAAATGAAACAATAGCTCATAATAGCATATTTGTATTCAAAAAAGAACATTTTAAATATAAAAAACAAATGTTCTTGATTGTAAATAATGGTAAAACTTAATTGTAAATGAATGTCATTTGTGGCTGTTGTTGGGGAAGAACGACCCTGTGTAATGTGTGTGTGTGTGTGTTTAGAGAGGTGGTGCACTTTGCGTGTGATTGAAAGTAAGTCTGTGGTGCAGAGTTTGGGCCGTGGGGCCAGGGGAGGTTGGCATGTGTCTCCTGTAGCCTCTGATGTGACGTGATTTATTCACTCTGCCCTGTTAATTCTTAATAATCCAGAGACTTTCACACCCCATTTAACCTGCTGCTTTTGGCCCTGCGTTAGGCAAAATATTTGTGGAGCTGTGATTGCTGCTTCGCAGAGACGAAGGGGCCAGGATTCTGATTATGAGCGGGATTTCAGGATCCAAAGTTTAGAGGAGAGATTTGCGGTTTAAGGAGGAGGGATTTTTTTTTGCTATCAAAAACCATAAAACAACTCAACTGAAATCTAAAGACCAGTCCATTACAGTTTGGGTAATGATTTAACTGTGCGCAGAGAAACATTATAAGTGCACGCTACCAAAAAATGAAAAATATTTTCCAGTAAATATTTGGATATCATTAAAACAAGATACATTTATTTATACTCTATTTAGTTTTTTTTTTTTTGGCAAATAGATTTTAAGCATAAATCCAACGCACTTTGTCGGATTTATGGTTTAAAAAATTTTATTAAAAAATGTTAAATTAAAAAATGTTAAATGTTATATTTTCCATTGGGGTAAGAAAAAACTTAATTCTGTCAGGACCACTATCGTCAAAATGATAGATAACGTTTGGTTTGGCGGTATGGTTCAGTTCTGGGCAAAAAACTCCCTGCCCATCCATGCAGCCTGTCATGAATGAGCAGGGAGAGCAGCAATAATAACCTATAGGTAGATGTGATCAGCTGAGAATCAGCTGATGCAAGCTTGACTCACGTGACCTGCCAGAACTAACACTAATGCTTAATTTCTGATTTAAAAATCTTAGTTCTAGATATGCTCTCTAAACTCTCTAATATTTTTTATAGTTTAGTTTCATTGATTTATGCAGTTTTGCTTCCCAAGTAAATGTATAGCATTTTAAGATGCAAATACTGATAAAAAAATATATATATACAGTGGATACGGAAAGTATTCAGACCCCCTTAAATTTTTCACTCTTTGTTATATTGCAGCCATTTGCTAAAATCATTTAAGTAATTTTTTTTCCTCATTAATGCACACATAGCACCCCATATTGACAGAAAAACACAGAATTGTTGATAATCAAACACAGCTGGACTCAAATGAAGGTGTAGAATCATCTCAAGGATGATCAGAAGAAATGGACAGCACCTGAGTTAAATATATGAGTGTCACAGCAAAGGGTCTTAATACTTAAGACTATGTGATATTTCTGATAAATCTGCAAAAATGTCAACAATTCTGTGTTTTTCTGTCAATATGGGGTGCTGTGTGTACATTGAGGAAAAAAATAACTTAAATGATTTTAGCAAATGGCTGCAATATAACAAAGAGTGAAAAATTTAAGGGGGTCTGAATACTTTCCATACCCACTGTATATATATATAATTTTTTTTTTTGCAGTGTTAATACCACTCTTAGGAATAAACGGCTTGATGTGAGCAAGACTGTTGTTACAGCATATTCATGTGTTGTGCAGTGTTGCTCTTCTCCACTCATTTTAATTGCATGTTTCATAAATCTCATTCTGTGCTGTGCTGTCTGCTGTTGGGATGCTGGGAGGGGGAAAAAAAGACTAAATTATGACTACTGCACATACATATTGTGACAACACGGACTGGTCATCAGGTTATTATTGATATAAAGTCGTTTTACAAAAAGGCTTTGAAATAAGGCGCAGATAAAGTGCAGATGATAAAACCGAGTGGCAGTGATTTATGAGTGGCAGGACAGAGAAAATAAAGCTGTCAGACAGTGACAGTTGACCTTGTGGTCCGTTCAAGTTCAGGCCGAGACTCTTTTCATCCTGCAGGAAACTCTTATTTAGGTGAAGTCACAGTAAGTCACGGTTATGATTGCTGACCCGCTGTGTCAGGGGTGTCATGTGAAGAGCTGCAGCTCTGATCTTGTTATGGGCTTCAGATAATGTCTGTGATGTGTTGAAAACCTGGTGTGTAGCTATCAACCTGATCTCTTCACCCTCTCAAACTCTATAAAAAAAAATTCAGCTGCTTAACCCGGAGCCTTTTATAACACCCACATGTGGCAGCGCCGAGCACTATGAGAGTGAATCTCATGAAACCTGTCAGGAACTCAGATCACATTTCAGCCCAGAAACAAATTGTGTTTTAAATTATATTTGGTTTGAAATAGACACGCCTCATGACATTTTCATGGCAATTAAGCATATTTAGCAATTCTCATTATTAACAATACGACTCTCGTTCAATTTTCATTACTGTAATTTTTTTTTTGTAAAAAAAAAATTGTGATTCAACATATATTTTATCATCAGCACAAATTAAAGGCAGCGCATCAAATATTACCAACCTTATTGCAAGCAAGTAAAGCAAGACAAAAAAAAACTTTTAGTAACTTTTAGTAATGAAAGAATATACACATAATTTACCTTAATTTACCATTTATTACTCTTTAAGTAATTTAAATAATATGTCATTATTTTATCAATATGTTGTGTCATTATATTTTGCCAGCATTTTATTTTATATTTTTTATTATTTTATTATTTTAGTATATTTTAATATATTTTTTTGTTATTTTATATTGTTTCAATATTTATTATATTTTGTTATTTTTTTTTATTTATTTATTTTTTTTTATTTACCATTCAAATGTTTGAGGTCAGTCAGATTTATTTTATTTTATTTTACTTTCCAGCAAAAGGGTAATTAAATTGATAAAAAAGACAGTAAAGTCATTAATCATGTTGTAAAAGATTTATGTTTCAAATAAATGATTCTAAAGGATCATGTGACACTGAATCAATACAAATGACATTTTAATACAAATTAATAATATAAATAATATATAATAATATTTTTCAATATTGTGCTTTTTATGCAGTCTTCATGAGCATAAGAGACGTCTTTCAAAAACATTTAAAACCCTTACACACCCCAAACTTTTAAAAATGCTTAATTGTCATGAAAATAATGCAAAAAATGTTCTTGACGGGTTTCATGACCCGTTCACTCATGAATCTCCTCTTGACGTATTTGATGTTGTCATTGAAATAACTTTGGAAGTCATCATGCTGAGCATATATATCTAAACTCAAGGGTCGAACTTATCAATGCCTTTGAATGTATTATATTTTTCTCTTGAAGATGTCTTCTTTTGTCCAACATAAGCTCATTAGTTTGCAAATTGGGTAATTCAACCTTCCAGCAGAAATGACAGCACTGCAGCAAAGCACAGTGGCACATCTTTTCTCGATTAGACTGAGACATGTCTGAATTTTCTCTCTCCTCAGGTAAACCTGTGATGATAGTGACCGAGTACATGGAGAACGGCTCTTTGGACGGCTTCCTGCGAGTGAGTGTGACACACTGAGCGCATTTAATGAGACTCCATTATGTATGATCAGAGGAAAGGCACAGAGGACTCATCTTAAAAACATTTAAAAACCCATCAGCGTCTTAGCTTCTCCTGCTTCCTCTCACAGTACCTGCTTATCACAGCATGCCTGAAATTCTCCCAAGCTCTCCGAACATTTCATTCTCATTTATACAAACAGACACAAATTGCTCTCTGCTGGTTCACCTATGTCTCTATTTGCTGCGGAGAGATCCTGATTTTTTTGACGGTGCCTTTGTGTTCGCAACATCGCCCAAATTCATCACATTCGTATTCGCAGCCGAGGCCTCTTTAAATAGACACTGACACTACCTGTGTTTCAAACACTTTGTAGTGTCAGAATTTCACTTGAGCTTATATCCACAATGGCCTCATTTTCTCACGCAGAACAGACCAGGCTTGTGTTCAGAAGAGAGAGCAGATTCGCTCGCGCACAGACCCAAGCGGCACTGGGGAGACTGGCGTGCCGCCTGCCAGCCTGACCGTGCCAGTTAAACAGACTGGGCATGCTCTGTCCTTCAGATGACTTCCGCTTTGCCGATCGCTTGCACTGTGAAAATAAACAAGCAAACAACAGGCTGTGGGACGGCCCATCTGAAGAGTGCTGATGAATGCGCTAATGAGCTCATTAAATGGGTCAGCTTAACCTTTGGCTGTGGCCGTCCTGCCTTGGCTCTAATACACCTGACATATGAATTTATCAGCCTTGTGTCATTTTTCAACAGTTTACCACCAGCAGCGCTTGCCAGACAATCTGCTATTTGGAGAACAAAATGAACACGCCAGACTTTGATGCATTGGATGGACATTCGCACTCATAAAAATATTTTTTGTTTTGTTCAGAGAGTTGCACAAAGGGGTCCAATGTAGAGTTTCATAATGTCTGGTGGTTCAGACTTGTCAGGGTACTACTATGAAGCATAAATATACAGTGTGATTGTTGTGTGCAACATTTGGGTTATGGGAGTAAAAATCTATTTTTATTTTTTTTTTCAATTGAGAAATTAATTTCTAGCCAGAATGTGCAAACCTTTTAAAACACAATTACAAAAAGCTCTGGCCTGATATAGAAGCCACAATGTGATGTGATTTCAACTTAATAAAAAAAAATAGTTGAATAGTGTAATTTCTAGTGGAGAACTACATTACCCATAATCCTGAAGAGAGAAGTCACTGTTACCATGGAAACTCAGCACTGACCGCCCATTTCCATGGAGCTTATATAGAGTATTTGTATTTACTAATTTTTTAAATATATATGTTTTTAATCATAATTCTCTTCTGCTCACCCAGCGGGCATTTACAGCATTTGATTTGAAAAAATACAGTATAAACATTAAATGTAAAATGACTACAGTTTCATAACAGTTAAAATAACGGTTTTCTATTTTAGTATATTTTAATATGGTGATTTGCTGCTCCACAAACATTTCTGAATATTATCAGTGTTGAAAACAATTGTGATACTTAATAATATTGTGGAAACTGTGATTTATTTATTTTTTTCCAGGATTATTTGATCAATAGAAAGTTTAAAAAAAAAACATTTATTTGAAATCCTTTGAACATTATACATTTCTTTACTGTCATGTTTGGTCAATGTAATGCATCATTGCTGAAAAAAATATTAATTTCTAAAAAATAATAATAATAATAAAAATCATACTGACCCCAAAATTTTCATTGGTAGTGTATATTAAGAATATTTTATAATACACTTTAAATACATATTATTGTGTATTTTTAATCACTGACTTACAACGTCTTATTATTGACAATCATTTAAGTACACATCCTTTCCTGATTTTCAAATACGTTTATGTTCATTCAAAGTTTGTATTGTTGTAATTCCTGTCAGAACATGTCAGAAAACTTCCAGAATCAAGGCCGTCGAAAATGTGTACACTAACAGCTCTACTGAAATGAGTATGCAAAGGCAGATGATTAAAACAACCTGAGCAAACAGGGCGTGGAGTTAGCAGAACCTATACGTGTGTCTGCACAGAATCCCACTCCCAGAAATGAGAGAAAAGTCGCAGTGTTCTGCAGCAATTTCCTGCGTACTGCAGCCTGGCCTGCACTCTATCAAAGAGATCTGTCATCCTCCCTCCAACGCATTTCCTCACCACTGCTCATGTCACTATTATTAGCAAGCCTTTGAACCTCTCTGAGCTCCTTTCTCTTCCAGGTGGTCCAGGGTTTATTTTCATCCAAACTTAGTTTGTATGCAGTACATAAACACTCGCATACAAAGAAAGGGAAAATAGGGTGGACAGAGGCACGGAATGAGAGGTAGACAGAGCGAAACTCACACTGGACAACTAGAGGAACAGTTCAAACAATAATAAAGATGTTGACATTGTTTACATCTTATGTCGTTCCAGACCTGTTTGAGTGTCCTTGTTCCATGGGACACAAAAGCAGACAGTTTTGGAGGATGTGCTGGTGCTTTTTCCATGCAATTGGATTGAATGGGAAATGGAGCAGTCAAGTTCAGGATAACCAAATGTCATGAAAGTTGTTCATATGACCCATGCAGAATATCTGAAGTCTTTTGAAATAATAAGTATGAGAAATAGACTGAAAGATGTGATTCACTGAAGCATCTTGACGTCTGCCTTAGCTTTTCTTGGCGAGTTCATGAAAGTTTATGAGAGAAGACAATATGTGAATAAATCATTCAGACCACATTTATGAAACAAATCAATCAAATGATTCATAAAAAAAAAAAGTCTGATTTGAACAATGTGTCCACGACTTGCATATTCTCCCGCTTTCACAAACTTGGATGTCAGTTTAAGCAGTTAATAACAACTTACATTTTCTAATATATCTATGTTTCTCGTCTATAGTTCTATGGTCTATAGTGACTTCAGAAGATTTGAAATAATGCTTGAGCCCTATAGACTACTTTTATGATATGTTATGGTGCTTCGACTTCCTTTCAGATGCTTGAAAGCACCATGTTATATCAAGGTTATGAACTTTAACTACAACTAAAACCACTGAAAAAATCATTACTTGAAATAAAATAAACATTAAGTAAAATAAAATATAAAAAGAAATGAAACATGTATTTCACAGTTGCCAAGGCAACATTTCTTGTGTATGCATAGTTGAGGTTGAAGTACTCAAATAAAAACTAAATTAAAACAATAATAATGATAATAATAATAAAAACTATATAGACATATTATAAAAATAAATAAATAACAAAATAAAAACACTAAATAAAGTTACTAAAATTATAAAAAATAAAATCAAAATATTCACAAAATCGAAATATCAATTCAAAATATAAAAATCTGTAATAGTAAAACAGTGATAATAAAATAAAACATGGTTGGCATTTATTTGATCTGCTTGGAAAAGAATGATCAGTACAGTCTTCAAAATTTTGCCTTTTATGTTTTACGGAAGAAATAAAGTCAAACCGAATTTGGAACGACTGTATATGAAGATGAGTAAAAGCATTTTTGGGAGAACTATTGCAATAAGACTGCAGCTTGACTGTTTTTGGTACAGAAATCCATTTCTCTAGAGCTCCCTGACAAATCAATGCTATCTCACTCATCTGGCCAGTCTCTCCCTCTCCTGCTGATGCACTTCCTCCCCTGGTGTTTATCTCCAAGTCCTAAGCATATCATTCTTCATATAATAGGCCTATTCACACGCACCAGTGTAAACACTGCGAGCCTGCCAGCGGACTTCAGTTCAGATATGCAGTGAGCTTGTGCACATCCTATTTATATTCTTCAACAAGTTGCCGCACACCATGGATTGAACCAGAAAAGACAGTCAAATCCTCCTATTTATTAAGTCAAAGATCTGCTTCTCTCAACAAAACCATTTCATGAGTGGTTTTGAGTTAGCTCATGACAGATGACTTCGGAAATGTCAGGCAGTGTTTTGAGATATGAGTCAACAATGTTGCATTGTGTTTTATAACCCATAGCATGACATATGTTTATACAGTAGATATAAAACGGCGTATTTGACTTTTCCCTTCGTCCCGTCTCTGTCAGAAACACGACGCCCAGTTCACAGTGATTCAGCTGGTGGGCATGCTACGTGGCATCGCATCTGGTATGAAGTATCTGTCGGATATGGGTTACGTGCACAGAGATTTGGCCGCTCGGAACATCCTGGTCAACAGCAACCTGGTGTGCAAAGTGTCAGACTTTGGCTTGTCCAGAGTGCTGGAGGACGACCCGGAAGCCGCCTACACCACAAGAGTAAGTCAACACCGACACAAGCAACTGAGATCAGTAACATTTATTATTATTATTATTATTATTATTATACCTCATTTAAAAACATAAATTATTTGTATACTACTCACATAGTTTTGTATCAGCTCAGCAGTCAAATTAAATTGCAATAACAATAACAATTATTTCCCGCTGACATAACATGGGTTTATATGCTTTATCTGATGTCATATACCATAATACTTCAACTTGCCATTTTTTCGAAGTTTGAATACGTTTCAGTTGCCTTCTCAACTATTTCAAAGGATATGTCTAATGAATTTATTTATCTCAGTGATTCCAAGTTGATTTGACGTTGAGAGGATAGAGGGATGTATACATATATACTGCCATTCAAAACTTTGGTAATTGGTAATCCAAACAGCCTTGGCGTGACAAGAAACATGAAGGGGCCGTGACCATAAAAACAAACTCACCACCAACAGTGGTTAGCAAGTCGGACACACCTAATGAGAACAAGTAACATGAACAAAAGGACCACATGGCAGGATCACATGACAAGGCAGGAACCAAGACAAGAAAATACAAAATAAAGGACAAGAAAAACTAAACAAGAAACAAAACCCAAAAACCAGCATAACAAATAGGTATTTTATTTTAAAATTATTTATTTTATTTATTTACTTACTTAAAGGGGGTCATATGATGCTGCTAAAAAGAACATTATTTGGTGTATTTGGTGTAATGAAATGTGTTTATGCGGTTTAAGGTTCAAAAAACACATTATTTTCCACATACTGTACATTATTGTTGCTCCTCTATGCCCCGCCTTTCTGAAAAGCGTCGATTTTTACAAAGCTCATCGGTCTGAAAAAGCAAGGTGTGCTGTGATTGGTCAGCTATCCAGTGCGTTGTGATTGGCTGAATACCTCAAGCGTGTGACGGAAATGTTACGCCCCTCACCATATTGTGATGATGCCCTGTCAGGCCGGAGCAATGATTCAAAAACATGAAAACCCATTATAAATGAGGCATTCGTTGCATCCAGTGGGGACATAATTATGGATTATAATGACTTATACTGTCTTTTTACACGTTGCGTTGCATCGCGCCACGTAAACATAAAACCATGTCTGCATTTGTGATCGGAGAAATGACAAACAACAAGCCCTACTCTACACTGTGCAAAAAAACTCGCTTTAAATATAAAAAATATAAAAACTCTTTAAATATAAAAAACTTACTTACAGTCTTTGAGTCAGAACAGCCGGCATTGTAGTCTACTCTACCAGGAACAGGAAACAGTCCTCCATAAAATGTGCTGCACACATCTGAATATTTGGGTTGAAATGTTCTGGAACAGTGTTGTAAATACAACTTAACCACTGATTTCTAGTCGTGTCCATTTTTGGAAGACCAAACAAAGTAGTTTCGCTTTCACAACGAAACACAGCATCACACACCACGGCCTACAGTGAGCAGAGGCTGGGGGCTCAGTGTTGCCAACTTAGCAATTTTGTTGCTAAATTTAGCAACTTTTCAGACTACCCTAGCAACTTTTTCTTCCAAAAGCACCTAGCAACAAATTTAGCAATTTTAAACATTTATTTGGCAACTTTTAGCAACTTTTGATAAGGACTCAGACAATAAAAAGGCACACATTGTCCATCCAAATTACACAAAAAGAGGAAACCACAGATGCCTAGCAGTACACACAGCACGAGAGTTGAGTTAGCTGCTATTTGCAATTGTTAAATTTAATAATAATAATAATTTAATAATTTGATAATTGAATAATTGTTCATTTATGATAAACTTTGTTAGAAGCTTGTACCTGAAATTGTTGATCAGTTAGTACACTGTAAGAAAATCTTTCAGGACATTATCCATTATCCATCATCCTTTGTAACCCTGTAACCCAAAACACAATGCGTAATTTAAAATACAGGTAAAAAAAACATTACGGAAAATTCTTTCATATTAACAGTAGATTGTGCCTTATTTTTATAGACTTTTCTTAGAGTGTAGCATACTAACTAACTACTAATACACTGCTTAAAGCATAATTGTTAAGAATGTGTAGAGTTTACTAGCTACTAAAAAAACTTAAATTGTAATCATTCAAAAATGTGTAAAATAATATTTCAATTCAAAAATAATTCAGTGTATTTAAAAATACAGTTATTTATATTTTAATATTATATCATGAATATTATTTTAAAAACAAATCTAAATTAACATATAAAATATATTTTTTGCTGAGATTTGATCATCAATTTTGCATTGTGATTACGCAATGACGTCACTGAGCAATGACATCACAACGTCATTTAGCAACTTTTAGCAACAAATCGACCTTCCTTTAGCAGCTTTCTCTGAAAATTAGTTGGCAACACTGCGGGGGCTAGCGTGAGGAACGGCGGGAGGTTTAGAGTGAGCAGAGGCCGCGAGCTTGAGAATGGCGCTGCCGGCGATTTCGACGAAGGAGCGTCCGGAAGGACATGTAACTACTCTGGGCTGGACTCCGCTTCGTCCACGGAGAAAGACGATCCGGCGATCCACAGCGCAAAGTTGTAGTATTTCCTCAGCAACCAGCACGGATCAGCTCCAGGCATGATGAAGCAGATATCGTCCTCTTTTGGAAGACCAAACAAAGTAGTTTCGCTTTCACAATGAAACACACAGCGTCTTTACGCCATGGCGGCTGAAACAACAAAACTACAGCGAGAATAAAAGTTACGCCTTCTTTCTTTGCGTGAACATTTGGACGGCGTTATGCAAATCTTCCCACATAGCGACGTAGACATGTGGGGGCGTGTTAGAACAAGCCATTATAGGTAGGTGCGGCTGTCTCTTATCTTTTATAAAGAATATCTCTTTGGATTTGAGACTTTAGTCTTTGCAATTTTACAGATCTTCTTTATGCACCAAGAGCTTGTAACACTCCAAAGAGAAAGGAAAAATTGAAATCGCATCATATGACCCCTTTAAGAAACTATTATTTCAAGACATGTAAAGCATTTTGGCTCGTTTATGTGGGCCGTCCCAAGCATGGTTGCAATGTGTTCATTGTCAAACTCCAAAATCAGATTATTTTTAATTCTTAAAAAACGCCATTATTTTATTTGAAATAAAGAATTATTTTATTTTATTGACAAAATATTTTAGTTTGTCTTGTATACTTTTTTCATGCGATCAGATAACATTTTAAGCTGTCATATGGTCATGTTACAATGTGCCCCTCAGCTGTTACAATCTACCCCACCTACGGGGCATGTTGTCACAGTTCACTTCCAATTTTTTAGGGTAAATAAGGAAAACCTATACACTGTAATTATGAAACAAATTGACATATTTGTACTAGACAAGTGTAAAATTATACTCTGAACCCCATGTGGATTTACACAATTTGAGAAAGTCAAAAAGTGTTACTTTGTGCCCCGCTGTCCTCTAACCTTCTTTGGTTAACAAATAGAATAACTCTACAGAATATCTGAATAACAAAAAAAGCTTGAGAAAAGTAAAGTAACTTTTATTAATGTGCCTTAGAAGAAAACATTACTGGTGTTCATGAGATAAAACAATGGAACTGACATATTTCAAGGTATGTCAGTGCAAGTTTCTTTCAGTTAAAACAGATCCGAAATGTATTTTAGTCTGGGACTAGGCTTTAGCCTTGTCTGTGAAACCAGGAGTATATGTATCAAGCTGTAAGCTTTAAACTTGTCAAAGAAATTAGTACCATATTTCATACACACTGACATACTGTACATGTATACAACATTAACAGTCACTAATAATAATTTTGTCCACTCTTAACAAAAAAACAATATGATTTTGTACTCTCATTCATGCACATATGCTTTGTATGTATTACCACACAGTTCATAAACAACATTCTAATATTTTATAAACTAAATTCTTATTGCTTAAAACACTATAGAAACATTGACATCTGATAGTAGACCAGTAAACACTGATCTAAGCATTCCTAGACTGTAACATTCATCATACTGCAATGTAAACATTCACATTACTTTATAACTATCGGCTATCTCATATAAGCTATCTCATATTAGCAAAATATTTATATCTTCGTTTCGTACGACATTTAGCCTATATGTAATAAGTTGCCTATATATAGGGAATGCATATCATATTTCAGCATATTTTACTCTCTTTCACACATTTCAGTTTGGCAAGATAGTTTAGGAAAAGCCCAACTAGTAAAATGCGGACAAGTTTATGTAAAAAATAACTCGTTAACTAATGCAAGTAAGAATAAATTACAGAAATGATATATCCTCCCCTGAATAAAGCCACGTCAGATCGTACTGTTCTTCTGAGGTAAATTCCGGCTTATTCCTGAAGTCTTCTTCCAAAAACAATGAAAAGTAGATTAATCTTGATATTTTGTTTTTGTTTTTGTATCTGGGTAATGAGGGCGTGCAAGTATGGCTGCAGATAATGACGGGAAAGACTGTACCTCGCTTTAGTTTCATACAGATTACATAATCAGAGAATATTAGTTTTCGATTAGAATTGGTTCATTTAAAAGTAGACACTTCAGGTTTTCTATAGACATATTTCTCACGTCTGTGTGTGAAGTATTTGCTGAGTTTCGGTTCGTTTTTTGTGACGCGTTTCAGAAAGAAGTTCACGGAGAGCAGAAAGCACACCCTGTTTGTTTTGTTTATTTTACAATAGCACAGTGTTTTTTTTTCTTATTGTCAATGTATACAAATGAAAGTAGACCCTTTATAGATCCGATTTTAGTCTTATCTGTATCTGAGTATTTTAGGTTCTTTTCTCTCTTATCAGGAAAAACTGCAGGTGAACACGCCGGCGCGCAGAGGGTTAAAGACGCTGCATTCAGATAGATGATAAATTTAGATTTCAAATTCAATTTTGATTTTAGAACTTCTGAAATTATTTACAGTATGTAATGCAAATATTTTATTAGGAACTGTAATTAGATTTCCTAAAAATGAACAGTAATCCCTTACTTTACTTTTTTCAGTGGATAAGTAATTTAATTATAGTAACACGTTACACCCAACACTGCTTACCACAAACATTTGAACAGTGATGGATAGATGGATAGATAGACAGACAGACATTTTCTGTGTTCACATAGCAAACAAAGTTGCTCCAAGGTTTAACTTTGTGGATGGAGAAACTGTCTTCACTTAGAACATGCTTTAGTGCTTTATTCGCAAGCCTCAAACCGAAGGTTTTCTCTCAGCCATGATTAGACCCAGACGCAGTCTGTGCTGAATCTGTGGAATGATTTTAAACATGGTAAAATGTGTTAAACAGAGCTAAGAGGACTAGACTCTTTTTCACAGAAGGAACATGCGGTGTGTAGAACTTGTGAATGATCAGCTTTCCAATTCTGCAGAAACCTACAGAACAAATTCCACATGGGCCAGACCATGGTTGACCAATGCAGCTCACTGCCTCCTCTCAGCCGCCATGTCTGATCTTCATTCCCTAGGATTAATAACCATATTCTCCACTCTCATTCTTAAGAGCAGCATCCATTATCAGAAGAGATAACTAATGCATAAATACACTTAGAGCCAGGCATAAATCCATAGCATGTGAGGCTTTAAGAGATATTGCATCTTAAATTACCAATACAAGTGTCACCTAACATAAGTGTTACACTGATTTGTGGCATATGCTGGGGAGGGGAAGTCCAACATGTTATTAGTTAGATAAACCCAAATTTGTTGGGTTTTCCTGGTCTCTGACAGCTAACGTAAATGTATGTTTTCACCATTACAACTAGACCCCCCACTGCATCATTGTTCCCTACGAGAACCTCGAACCCACAAGAATGTTGGTAGCTGTCGCCTTCCCCTTCTATTAAACCTAAAGGATACATTGTGTCACATTTTACATTCATTAGCAGTGATCTTGCAGGGCCTGTTTGTACGCGCTCAATGGGGAGGCCCGTGCACAAGTGGGTTTATTTTTTAAAGGCCTCGCGTTTGGAGAATGTGGGGTAGGAATTGTGTGACTTGGCCAGGTTGCTAGTTGGCTTTGGCTCTACCTTGTTCTCTCTCAGTCTGCCTCCTTCATGAAGGTTGAGTGTATAGTTACCCCAGCAGCCAAGCTGGGTAAATACAACACAGATCCTCAGAGAGAGAGGAATGAGGACAGGATCGATGAAGGTGGTGGTGTACCACAAACCAAGAGCAAAGATAGAATAAGAGGAGGAACTGGACAACTCATAGTAAAATAAATTACAAATTGTAACACTCAATATGGTGGTTTTAGGAATTCCTGCCTTTATAGTTAAAAGAGCTAACTGATTCTTTGATTGAGTTGTTTTTATGCCTTAAAGGGATAGTTCACCCGATAATTAACATTCTGCCATGTTACTCACCTGCATGTGGTTCCAAACATTCATTCATCTTTGAAACACAAATGAAGATATTTTTAATGAAACCTAAGACATTTCTGTTCCTCCAGTGAAAGTCCATGCAACCAGAATATTGAAGCTACAAAAAGTTTGTAAAGACATCATGAAAGTAATCCATGCTGTATGAATCGAGCAGTTTAAACCAAGAGACACATCACTTTATATGATGAGCAGATTTTCAGTTTATTCACATACACTAGAAGAACCACCAGAAGTGATTTCCTTCTTGGTTCCCCAAAGACAGTTTTTAAAAGTAAATTTTTTTTCATAGTTTGAAGTAGGGCTGCACGATAAATCGAAATGGAATCGAGATCGCGATTCGACAGAAGCTGCGATTGTCATGCGTATCTTTCAGTGAAGCACGGTTCTGTGATCAGCAGTAAATCTCCATCCAAAGGCCAGATGGCGCTCTTTTCACATGCTTTCGGATGGAGCAGCATTTACTTCACAGAGCCGTAGTTCACTGAGAAGCTATGCAAACAGCTGTCATTATCGCAAACGATTTCTTCGATTTCATAATTGTGCAATAAAATCGTAACTTGTCAGTGAACTACGGCTATGTGTAGTAAATTCTGCTCCATCTGAAAGCACGTGATTACAGATCCTGCTGATTACAGAACTGACATTACTATCAAAATGCGCATAACAATCGCATTTGATTAATCGTGCAGCCCTAGTTTGAAGTACATTTTAAAAATCTAAAAGACCTCTCCACTACAAAGAACCTTTCGTGGAATGGAAAGAAATGGAATGGAACCATCAATACCAATAAAGAACCTTTATTTTTAAGAGTATAGAGCTCATCAAATTTTGTAAACAGAAACTCAACTGTACAGTACTTGCTTGACATGCTGCTTATATTCACCTTCATTGTAAAGACTGCACTAGATTGGCAAATTTAACTATAATTTGCTCATAACGCTGTTTGAGGGGGTTGCCACATAGGGCCGGGGTCCCTTGTGCTGGTGGTGCAGCTAGAGGCTGTGTCTAAATCACATTAACGCTGGTGCTGTATAGTCAATTTCACTAACCCAAACAAATCCTAAGGGCACCTCAGAGCTTGTTTCAAACTTTGAATTTCATTCATTAGATGCATGGCGCTCTCAGAAGTCCCCCTTCATCCGCTCTGACACCTTACATATGGCCTGTTTTAAACGCCAATGCATACAGATTACATGATTTGGCATGTGGACATTAGAGTACATGTTTGTTATTCAACTAATAGTAGAAATATGTGTTTGGAAATGGTCACAGATGGCAAAATGTTTCCTTGACAGATGGATTTTGTGTGTTTACAGGGTGGCAAGATTCCGATCCGATGGACCGCGCCAGAGGCCATCGCCTATCGCAAGTTCACCTCGGCCAGTGACGTATGGAGCTATGGGATTGTGTTATGGGAGGTCATGTCTTACGGAGAAAGACCTTATTGGGAGATGTCCAATCAGGATGTGAGTAGGGCGGCTGTCAGAGCAATCCAGCATCTTCCCTGCCAAAATAGATCAGTGTTACATATGTTCGATTTGATTTGAAGGCACTTTAAAAATGTGCCTTTTGTATTCCACAGAAAAAAATAAATACATCTTAAGGGGCCATTCACACAGAATGCATTTCTCCATTCCACTGCGCTCATGTCTTACATCTTTTGCAGTGTCTCGCACATGACACAGCGTTCTAAAATCGCAGCATTATAAAGAGTTTAAAAAGTTCAACTTTTAAAGGGGTCATAGGATGCCCATTTTCCACAAGTTGATATGATTTTTTGGGGTCTTAATGAAAAGTCTGTAACATAGTTTGGTTAAAATTTCTCAATGTTAGTGTAAAAAACACCTTTTTTTACCCTGTCAAAAACAGCTCTTTTCAGAGCAAGCCATTTTTGAAGCATTTTCCTTTAAATGTTAATGAGCTCTGCTGACCCCGCCCCTCTCTTCCAAGCTGCTCTCAGAGAGAGCACTTTTACTTTACTTTTACTTTACTTTACTTTAGCTGCATTCATCGTGAAACTTGCTAATTAGCACATTATTAGGAAAGGCAATTTGCAAAGATTCATTACAAAACATTATACTCACTTCTTCTGTAGATGAGGCTGGATCATGAATGATTCGTGCGAACATAGACGCATTTAGGCAGATCGGGGGAGCATTCCCTTCAGAAACAAATGTAATCCACTGCGTCTTCAGCAGCTCAGATGTCGGGAGCAAATGACGACTGCTATGTTCATTACTACATCCAACAACAGAACACCTCAATCGCTTAGGAGTCATTCTTGTCTACATCTGCTCCAGCGGTGAAACAATGGCGGATTGATGACAGCTCACTCAGGGTGGGTCTAAGGTAAGACGCCAGTCCAGTCTGTGCTGAAACACTACTGTCAATCAAACTATCGTGGGAGGGGTCTGTCAGTGTGACGTCACACAGACAGGCATCTGAGATCGGCTCGATTTGAGAAAGGGGGAAACATTTAACCACATTAAAACTGGGTGGATTTTTATCATTATAGGGTGGTTGTGTACACACACTGCCAACACACATTTCAGTTCAAACAACTTGTAAAAGTGCATGTAGCATCCTAAGACCCCTTTAAAAAATGACCCCTTAAAAAAAAGTTTTTTTCCCATTCCAATGCCCGCTTCTCACATTTTTCAAGGCTCTAAGAGGCCATTGACCCAGAACACATTTTTTGCATTTAAAAATGCAAGATGCAAGTCAGTAGAATGAAAAAAAAATCACGGTTTAGAGACATGAAACTTCTGTAACTTCTTTTTCTTGAGTGCCAAAGTTTTCAGAACCTCATGTCATGCGTAGACGCTGCAAAACTTGCAAGACGCAAGCTTAGTGGTACAAAACGTTTGTCTAGCATGTTTACATATAAAACAATGGAAAAACAGCACAGTGGGACACACAAACATGTTCTGTATGAATGACCCTTAAGGGGCTGTTCACACAGAACGCGTTTTTGCTTTGAAAAATGTGAGACTGCGCAGTGGAATGGGGAATAAATGCAAGGTCTTGTTTTTTAAAAGTTGTTTTAAAAAATGTGTTTAAATTAAGCAGAGTGTTTTCAGAACGCTATGTCATGTGCGAGAAGCAGCGAAAGACACGCGACACAAGCACAACTGTCAAACATGTTCATCTCGCGCGTGTGTACATAGAAACACAATGGAAAAGTAGCACTGTGGAATCAAAAAACACATTCTGTGTGACCGGAATAACATGGAAGTGAGTAAATTGTCCTTTCTTGGCAAACAATATAATTCAACTAGAAAAATGTTTCATGATCAACCAGCTACCAGGCTAGTTTTGCATAGTTAGACCATTCATGATACTCTTAATGAAAAATTTTTGCTAGCTAACGCTAGTTTCACAAAGACAGCTAACTGAACACAATGAGTAGCCAACAGTGAAAATTCACAGGCCAAGAAAAACTATTATTCTATAGGTCTTACATAAAGAAAAGAAAAAGAGCCATGTGTGGAATTGTGGTAAATGTGTAGTGGTTTGTTATGAAATATTGTGTTGATATTGTTATTAGTTCTTTAGCACTGACTCTGAGCAGTGGCCTTGTTGCTGCAGTTCAGTAACTTCACCCTGAGCAAATGAGGCCCTGATAGTTTATTTGAATTGGTTTATGGCAGTGCTGATTATCGAGTGATGAAAATAAAAAGGGAGTAACAGTTCTGGAGCACTTATGAGGCAATTGATTTTGTGTTGTTGCATGGACGGAAGTGCTTTATTTTTATTTTATCCTACTGGATGGTCACAGTTGGCAGGCGAGAAAGAAATATGTCCTGAGGAGCTCAAAGGACAGGAAATTGAAGAAAATTATTGCAGTGCTTCATCTTTTAAAGGAATATTTCACCCAAAAATTGAAATTTTGACAGAATTTGCTCACCCATATGTTGTTCCAATATTTTATTACTGTATATCATTTATTTTCTGAAACACAAAAGGAGATGTTAAGGTGCGGTCACATTTACCATTGTTCGACAGTTTTCACAGGCAAAATCTGGCCATTTCAATAGGAAATAATGAATGAGGGTGAAAAATCTCCCCCCACAGAAAAATGTCCACGTTTCGCAACAGGTTCTAGATGAAAACTGCTTGGTTTGACATTGTGACATACAACTCATAGTGACCTCTGTGTGAGTTGTGCTTCATACATTGTTACAGCATTTGACAAAGGACAATGAATATTTTTTTGCCTGCAAAACTTTGCTAATGTGTCCGCACCTTCAGACAGAATGGCAGAACTTCAGCTTGACAATATTTTCTTGTATGCCTCAGGTGATAAAAGCGGTGGATGAGGGCTATCGTCTTCCCCCACCCATGGAATGCCCTGCCACACTTTACCAGCTGATGCTAGACTGCTGGCAGAAGGACAGAAACAACCGGCCGAAATTTGAGCAGATTGTCAGTATCCTGGACAAGCTCATCCGCAACCCCAGCAGTCTCAAAATCACGGCCAGCACTGCTTCCAGGTACGTCACCCAGGAGCACTGGCTCTGGACCGAGCCCTAGATACTTGTTCTGATCCCAAATTGCCTTCTGCTCTTGTCTGCTTCATGTCACGTTCAGATCATCTTCTCATGCACCCTAATGAGAGGAAGTACTCTCTCTTCCTCCTGAACTCTAATTTGTATCTTAACCTCAGGTCTAGATTCATCGCAAGCTCTTACAGCTGGTCACACACAGTTATGACTGAGATGTACATGAGGCCACAATATTTTCTGCAGATTATTTTTCTAGACAAGATCAGTTTATTTTTGGAGCCAGTTTGCAGAAACAGTCCTTAGACAGGTGGTGTTTGTGATAAACATTTGCTGACATCCGGTTTCTTCAGTATCCAGGATGTAGTACTAATGTTATTCAAAGTATTATACACAACGTGGTCAAAAGTTAACACCCCCTTCTGGTTAACGGGTTTGGCAAGACCCCTTGATTCCAGTGAACGCATTACATTCTAGATTTGTGTACTTTGCGGTACACAAACAGTTTGGGAAAGGTCCTTTTTCCTGTTCCGGCATGACCGTACCCTTGTGCGAGGTCTATTTTGAAATGGTTTGACACTTTCTGGTGTGGAAGAACAGGACTATCCTGCACAAAGTCCAGACTTGAACCCCATTGAACACCTTTGGGATGAATGCACTTTTGACCATATTTTTATTTGTATTATAAGGCTTTTATGCATCCTGATGTTACCAGACTGCACACTCATCTTTCCAACTTAGATTTTAGAACAGGGTGTTCTTCAGGGAGTCTGCGACCCCAAGGAAGTATGTGGCAGTACTTCACAGTGTCTGGCAATTACTGTTTAATCTCAAAATAATTTGTGTGGAAAAAAATCTCTATCCTACTCTATTTTCCTCCATTGCAATAGGACTCAATTCACTAGAGGGTTCATCCGGTAAGGGCTGCCCCGTGCAGTGTGGACGTAAGTGGTATAACCAGTAGCTTTAATATTATGAAGTATGTAACAGTGACTAATGGTTTCTTAAGAAAGTGAAAATGGGTCCCAGGGAGTTAGCATGTAATTTTCCTGATTGGCTTTTAACATGGCCGATCAGGTGACCAGCACTGGGCCCAGGTGATTTATGGCTCTCCAGTCGAGACACACTCTGAGGTTCCGCTGCCGCTGATCTGCAGCCACAGCTGTGCCCAATCCCTTGCACCTCATTTATCTACATGCCCTGCATGCTAATGGCGCGGCACTCCAGCCATTCTCATGGATGGACCCTAGGCCTAAAGGCCAGACCCGGAGAGATGGCGTGCACATGCTCGGAAGTAAAATATCGGCACTCTCAGGACAAGAGTAGGTGCGCGATCCCAGAGCCTCCTCACAGCAAGAGATGCATTCTTGTCCGTGACGAAGCTACGCAGATGTTTCTCCGTGAGGAACATCCTCCCTCCTTTCACATCCCTAGAGAACTTTAAAAACATGATACTAAGCAGCCTCGGTTATTTAGAGGTCACTACACCAGAGGGGAGAGAGGAAAGCAAAAGAGTAGAGAGGGAACCAACAGAGAGGCCGAGTGTTTACCTCTCTTCTTCCTCTCCCTCTGGCCTGTTGTGCTCCTGTCGACTGACGCCTCAGATCTCTGACGCCAGCAGCTGATGCAGTCCAATGCGGCGTGTATACACCAGAGTTTAAGCTATCACTTCCATACCCAACAACAAAGATTTTTCTCCACATCAACTGTTTCTTTTTCACCTTGTAAGTTTTAGTAAGAATGGAGCTACACATCACAACAAACAAAAGAGGACTGGACATCTCTTGGTATTCCTCTCTGCTTTTCTTCCCCATGTTGACCATTATAATTACAAATACAAATTATTTATCTTATTAGTACATTACACAGACATTATTTAAGTAGTCCTGTCAGTCAGTTAATGTATTTAGTTATGAGTCATATTTTTTTTAGCATTAAACATGGTAATAAACGTGTCAGTTCCTTTTTAATGAAAGAATACTAAATAATAAAACCACAGATAATTATTAAGTTCTGCGGTTTGTGTGAGTGACGATTATAGCATAAATGTATGCTATTAAAAAAAACACCAAAACAACTTCCCCACATTTTGTGGACATAATTGGCTGTGATAAATTCCAATCAGCACTGAAGATTCTGATATTTTTTTTCATATATATGTGTGTGTAAATATATATATATATATGTATATATATATATATATATATATATAGTTCATAATTTTGTTTTCTCTGATGCTTCTGTTTTGTGATTTTGTTTTGTTTAGGGATTTAGTTTTTTGTTATGATTTTTTATCTTGATTTGTTTTAGATTTTTTTGTTTGTTTTGATTAGTGATTTTATTTTGGATTTCTTTTTTTCTTAAGTTTTGTTCTCTTTTGTTTTGGTTTTGGTTTGGTTGGTTTAGTTTGGTTTGGTGACTGCTGTACATTTAAGACTAAATTTAAGCACTGCTGCTCATAGTTACAAGCTGCATGTTTGATGTTAAGTCCAGTGTTATCTTCCCTGTCCCATCCTTAAATAAGTCTTTTTCCAAAGCTGCATCACATTTAGAAAGGTTCACAAAACAACTGGCACATAAATGTGCTGCTCAAACTGTGAAGTTCGGACTAAAACGGTCAGAGACATTGTTATAAATAAATTTCAACCTCTCTATCCATTACATTAGGAAAGGATTTCTAAAGATCCTGAGTGCATCGGTGCAGTACTTGCAGACAGCTCTATTCAATGAGCTGTGTCAGCACTTACTGATCCTCTTTGCCAAGTAACTTGGATCCATTCAGCATTCTTTTCCAGTCAACTCAGCGTACATTATTCTTTTATTTTCATCACACAGTAATGGAACACTGGGAACATGTGGGTCTGAGTGGACTTCCTGCTATCTTAATTTGTTTATTTACATGAATATAAATAGCAGTCCCCAAAGGGATTGTAATCTCATTTCCGTATGTTCCCCTGGTTCTAATCAGCAGCTATTGGACCTGAATTTTTCACAATGCGATCTTGAATTGCTTTCATAATGTTGTTTTTAGAGAACCTCCAAATGTTATTATGTAATAAAATATCCACAACTGCCAATAAAAGGATTACATGTTTCCATACTGTATTTGCCAGAAACATGTTAAAAGTTTGTTCATTTAATTGAGTAGCTAATTACACTTCACTTTTATATGCTGTATTTTTGTGTAGGTTTATAAAGGCATTGGTTAATGAGTTAGCCTTTTACCCACTAAATAATGGAAACTAGCATTGGAATGTGAACAATGGGAAGTCATCAGAAACAGAGATGTCTGTGTATTCGAATAAACATTCCTAAATGTATTGCTTTCTTCCAGGGGAATGCTTGCCATAACACAGATGGAGAGAATCAGTCCCACTTCTCTGCAGGTATTTCCGTATGGAGACCTTGCATATCAGGCTTGAAGGCCTTTGTGTTTAGCCTCTGCTTGCACTTTTATAAGCTTGTTTTCGCCATAAATGACATTTGTCAAACGTGATGGGAATAGCAGACGACCACAACTTCAGTGTTGTATTTTTTCAGTGTCAGCAAGCTACACGCAAGCTACACACAAGCTACTCACGGGGTGTGTTCTCATGAAAAGCTGTTTGGTTCTACAAGGGAATACTGCAAATGAAAGTTATTTGTGCTTCATAAGTGTGAAGTCATTTCTGTTGGGCTGCACAAACTAATACTTTAATATTTTTATAATTTTTATTTTTTTTGTCATTTAGCAGATGCTTTTATCCAAAGCGACTTACAAATGAGGACAATAAAAGCAGTCAAAACTAACAAAAGAGCAACAATATATGTTGCAAATGACAAGTCTCGGTTAGCCTAACGTAGTACACATAGCAAGGTGTGCTTGGTCGAATGTCCACTTCTGAAGCCAGATTGGTTGCTGTCCAGGAGGTTGTTCTGTGTGAGAAAGATTGAGACTTGGTAGAACACAACTCGTTCAAGTGTTTTTGCAATGAAAGGTAGAAGGGAAACCGGTCTGTAGTTCTCTAAAAGAGTTGGGTTAAGAGTGTGTTTCTTAAGAAGTGTGGTTATACAAGCCTGTTTAAATGTTGAGGGGAAAAACACCAGTGTGAAGGGATGTGTTAACGATGTGAGTGAGTGCAGGTACAACAGCAGGAGAAATTGCTTGAAGGAGATGAGATGGAATAGGATCAAGCGGACAAGTAGTAGGATGATTGGAAAGGATGAGTTTAGAGACTTCTGCCTCAGAGAGTGGAGAGAAGGATGAAAACGAGTGTATGTTTGCTGGTAAGATGTGTTTGACAGTTTGTGGTGTGGAAAATTGTGCACTTAGGTTTGTAACTTTATTAATGAAGAATGTGGCAAAGTTGCCAGCTGTTAGAGTTGATGAAGGAGGGGAGAAGGAGGACAAAGGAGGGAGGAAAATGTTTTAAAGAGCATGCGAGAATTAGGCGAATTGTTAATTTTGTTGTGATAGTATGTCCTTTTAGCAGTGGAGGCATTAGCAGAGAATGAAGAAAGGAGTGATCGATATACATTAAGGTCAGTAGGATTTTGTGATTTGCGCCATACTCTTTCTGCAGCTCTGAGCTTAGAACAATGCTCATGGAGAACATCAGATAGCCAAGGGGCAGAAGAGGTGGTACGAGCTGGC